CGCGATCACTGAACATCAGACAATCGTTAACAATACAGAGAGCGCTGCGACGATTCGCTAGTTGTTGCATATCACCACTCAGCTGCTTAACTGGCCATCTGCTCTGAACATAGGTGATCGCTTCTTGGATAATCGGGTCTTCTCTGGTAGCTTCCCGAACATCTTCAGCGGTAACAGGCATTGCTCGAACGGCATTCATCAATAGCGTAGCACCGGAATCCTCTTCGGTTGATACTGTGGCTATGAGTGTGTCCTCATCGGTGGTAGAATGGTTACTGATAAGTCTGGACAGTGCATCTGCTTGACCAAAATCTTCGGAACGTCGATACTGGATGTCGAAGTCGTACCCCAATAACGCCAACGCCCAACGTTGAAGACGATTAGCAGAATGGGCAGGAATGCCTTTCTTTGATCCAAAGATTGATAACAAAGGCTTGTGGTCTGTGAGCAAGGTGAAACGGCGCCCGTTAATGAATTTGTGGAATCACCGGACAGCAAAAATGAGGGCTAACGCTTCCTTCTCTATCTGGCCGTAGCGTTTCTCAGCAGGTGTTAGTGTTCTCGAAGCGTGCATCACCGCTTTCTCTGACCTGTCGGGAAAGACATGTGAGATTACGGCACCCAGTCCATGTGTTGAAGCGTCAGCAGCAACCACAATGGGTAGTTTCGGATTGTAGTGGGTTAGCAGAAGATTGGAACTTAGCATGGCTTTAAGTTTTGAAAAGGCTGATTCACATTGCGTTGACCAATTCCAAGTAGCATTCTTTTCTAGCAGACGATTTAATGGATATCGTACGCCATGCAATGATGGAAGAAATGCTGAATAGTAGCTCATCATCCCCAAAAATGATCGCAGTGAGGAGACATCAGTGGGAGCAGGCATTTGTTGGATTGCGTAAGTATTTTGAGGATCAGGGTGTCTTCCGGAAGCATCAAAGTTAAACCCCAGGTACTTAACGAAACGTAAGAAGAATTGGCATTTTTCTGGGCGAAGGCGAAAACCATTATCCTGGAGGCGTTGCAGAACTAAGTGGGTTTTGGTATGCAATTCATCAACAGTTGAGCCGACAATGACCACATCGTCAAGGTATGTAGCAACACCAGGAACATCTTTCAGAATAGTGTCCATAATCTGCTGGAAGATCGCTGGAGCAGTTTTGATACCGAAGGGTAACCGGATATACTGAAAAAGTCCTTGGTGAGTGTTGATTGTCAACAACTCTCTGGATTCTGGAGCGACTGGAATTTGAAGGTAAGCATCTGCCAGACCCAGCTTAGCAAAATATGTACCACCATTTAAAATAGTAAATAAGTCATCTGGGATCGGCAGCGGATAGTGATGCTGTTGTAGAGCCGCGTTGAGTCCTGTGGAAAAGTCTTCACAGATGCGTATGGAACCATTAGACTTTTTTACAACCACAATTGGTGCAGCCCATGATGAATAAGAAACAGGTACTAGGACACCCTCAGTTTCCAAACGTTGAAGTTCAGCGTCAACCAGAGGTAAAGATGCGTATGGGACTGGACGCTTCGGGCGAAAAACTGGCGTAGCTTCTGGCTGCAGTTTTAAAACAACTTCCGTTGTGGAACAAAGTCCGAGAACAGGCTTAAATAGTTCAATAAATCGTTTTCGAAGGTCTTCAGCATGCTGTTGTGTAGAAGCAGTAGTTTGGACTTGATTGCAGACAGCGCTAATAGGAAGATCAGCGAGACCAAGTTCTTCGAACCAATCTAAACCTAAAAGGTTGAGCGGAAAATTGGTGATGTAGCATGTCCCATTGAAGGTTGTACCTCTGAATGAAATACAGCAATAGAGTTCACCATGAAGGCGGAGATGACCCCCACAGGCACTGACGGCTGTTTGAGAGGATGGTTTGATGGGAGGTTGACCCAAGGTTCGCCAAGTCTTTTTCGACAGAATGGTGATATCTGATGCAGTGTCCAACTGCTGACGAACTGGCTGACCATTGATTGAGAGGGTCAGAAATTTGCGTCGAGTCGCGGCATGAGTATGGGAGACTGCTGCTAAACTCCTTGATGAGGTAATCGGCTTTTTGTGTAAACGACGCTGCGTCTGTGCATTTCGACGGTTATTGAATCGGTTGGATTTGCAAAAGCCGCTTTTGTGACCAACTTTCTGACAGCGATCGCACACATGCTGTTTGAATGGACAGAACTTCACATAATGCCAGGCTCCACAGTGCCAACATGGCGAGGGGGCTTTCTTCTGAACCGGTTTAGAGTGATTAGAGATAGAAACAGCGCTGGCGTTCGAAGGACTCGAGTTTGTCGATCTCGAAGATTTTTTCTGGTGCTGAACTTTTTTTTTTTCGGAACCACCCTGGCCCCCAGATTGAACCAAAGTGGTGTCACGCTGCAGAGATTGATGATACTGGTATTCGTCTATGATCGCATTAAGTGTCAGTGTTGGATCTTGTTCAAGGCGGTTGAGCAACCGAGTTCTGATGTCGGAGAATTTGGGTGACTGAAGACTGCATATGAGTACTAGGGACTTGAATTGGTCTTCAGTGAGGGATCTGAGCTTGAACCGTTCGCACTCACGGTTAACAACGCCGACGTGAGTCAGGAAGTCATCAGACTCATTCATGACCAGTTTTAAGCAGCGATATCGGGTACTGAAGAGTGAGTGATGATCACCAAAAAGTTGGCTAAGGGACTGAATAGTGGCGTCGAATGAACGGTCGCGTGGGTTCTGCGGTAGAATGAAGTTGCAATACTTATCCAGCTCGGATGGACCAAGTTTACGGAGAAGAGGACGCACCTTCCACGAATCATCTCTGTCAACAAAGTCAACTTTGAAAAGGTCTTCATAACGTCTGAACCAGGTGTCAAATGTAATGTTGGCATCAGGATCATAAAGAAATTCTGAAATACCAGTGGTAATACCATCAACTGATTCAGGAATTGTCGGTGCAGTTGGGACTCGAGAAGATATATGCGTCTGAGTAATCATCTCCATCAGCTTCAGCTGCTGTTCGAACAATTTTTCTAATTTGGCTGGATCCATAGTTAATCACCAACTTGTTGCTAAATCTCCGTCGCCAAATTTATTGTGAATCGCGAGTTGGCTACTCTAAATTCTACCGATTGACAAGCTTCAGATATCCCAGTTCGACCCCAATACTGTTCCCAATCTCCAATATATCAGAACACGAACCGTAGATGAAAAATCGTTTATGGGGTCAGGAGCAGCAGAATAATGATTTACAATCAAATGCATATTTATACAGTTAGGATTACTATAAATATTGACCAACAGAAAGATGACACGTTAAATAATATTGACCAATAGGAAAATGACACGCGAAATAAATATTGATCAGTAGGGAAACGACCAATAGGGAAATGACACCATTTAACGTTCAAGGGTAGCGTTAGACTTAACCGGATAATTGTTTTTGGGATATTCTTCTGAGTATCCCAACAGAAACGTTTTAAGAAGCGTCTATTACAGTGTAAATAAAATAGATCTTTCGTATGGATGATATGATAGTGTAGGGGTTTAAATATCGTATAAATTAAATAGGTTAGCAGTTATCATAATCCATCTGTTTATGTGAACTCAAAACAACTTTCAACCAATATCAATGTGAGAATCTTCAATACGAACTTCAAGACAGTCAGTTCTACTGTACAAGTATTATAAATATTACAAGTATTTATAAAAACGTTGTCTACGCAAGATACTCAACATCCATCAGCCGGATACTGTCAGTAACAGCCTTCTGTTGGACGAGAACAAATCAGCTTCTAGCTGAAGAGGAAATTAGGAAGAGAAGAAGGAAATGGATAGGACATACATTACGCAAATCATCAAACTACATCATGAGGCAAGCCCTAACTTGGAATCCTGAAGGAAAGAGGAAAAGCGGTAGGTCAAAGAACACATTACGTCGAGAAATGGAATCACATATGAAAAGGATGAATAACAACTGGAAATAGCTGGAAAGGATTGCCCGGGACAGGGTTGAATTGAGAATGCTGGTGAGCGGCTTATGCTCCTTTGTGAGGAGTAACAGACGTAAGTAAGTAAGTAAGTAAGTATCTGCCTATATGATACATCAACAGATCATGTACTTATGAATGATACTTTACAAACATTGTCGTAACATTTTGGAACTTCTGTCATTAGGATTGACTTGATTATTACAAATGATGTGATGTTGGTCGGACACTCAAACCTACTCCATCTGTCATGTAGTAATTATCGTCCTAGCCAGTGATCATGAACTGTTGTTATATGTTTCATCTTCCCTTAGTTATTTTTAATTAATTACGAAACAATTGCTCAGTTTTGTGTTAATAGTGGCTTAGTTATGTACAAACTATGATTTCTGGTTTATGGTGTGGTATGGTCTGATAGTGTATATCACTCTTGCGAGTGTTTAAGATGTAAGACATAGAAGGATAATATTAGGGATCTGCTTGTTAACTTCATCCTCTGATTGGACACTGGGATTGGAAGTGTTCGTGGACTAATAAGCGTTAAGGTTTGGGTCAGTTTTTCATATTGATTGGGTGGTTCGTCTAGAGTAGGTCATTGATTCTGATTATACATATAAGTCAATATTCACAAAATAACTGCATAAGCAACAGGAATTTCTCATGATATAGGTAATTTTGAACGGAGAACTTTATTCTGTAATCAAAGCAAAACGTTGAATAAGTGAGCTTTTGTTACTGTCAAAATAGATTGAAACGGTAATTATTCCTCTACGATTTTGGTGCTGTATCCACCTCTAATTTGGAATTACCGCATAACAATAACCGTGAGTGGATACTTGCCATCCACCGACTCAGTTTGATGCTGCGGCGTTTTCTTTAATACTCTTGGTGTTTCGGAAATAAGAATATTTTGTAAGGTAGAATGAGATCTTCCTAACGTTCATTGGAACGGTGAGTTTGATGCATGAATGATCAACTTATAGAAAATATGAGTGTATGAAATACACCCCAATATTTTTAAAGACGTCACCTACCGTGTCAAATTCTGAAAAATATTGATGTCAGGTGATCGGAGGGTTAATTCAAATGAAACAGCCGCATGATGACTTTCTAATACAGCACTTGAATAAAAAAAAACAAAAAAGAATACAAATATAACGACTGAATAATTCCAGCTTAACATTTTAGATTCACTAAATAAGCATAAGAATACATGTTTAAGAAAGCCTACTTATTGCTTTATAAAATTGTACCAAAAAAACAGAAAGATGAATATAAGCACGGATGTATAGTGGCTAGCTCTTGGATCCAGGATATGGGCTTCGTCCCATTTGGGACTCATCAGTTGGGTGTGAACACTAACTCTAGGTTCCAGGCATGTCCAACTGACATATCCAACTTGAAAAAGTCGAATTCTACTAGAAATCATTCACATCCACCTTAGCCATTATTTATTAATTTTGAATAACATGTGTTATGTGATCTTGTCCAGCTATCGAACTCTGGACAAGTAAAGAAAGCTTTAAATTACAGCTTACTTAAACTACATAACTAAGGTTGAACATGTCATTTAGTTGATTTCTAGATTAACTGGAAGGACAGATCCATAGATATTCTTAATGATATTCAACCAATGTTCATCAAACATTAATCAATCATAGGTCAAATCATTTCATAATCAAACGATAATAAATAAGTTACACAGTAAATTTCACTTCAGCACTTACATATCATTGTATAGAATAGCTAATGGATCATTACTATTCACAAGAAATGGATTTGTTTTCCCCGGGTGGTCTACATCATGTACTATCGCGGCTAAAAGTGTAGCAACTTCATCGATATTTGTGCAAATTGACTGGAAATAAATAATAAGCAACAAGAACACAGATAGTTATTTAAGAATGTCTATGAAAAGGGAAGTCTTATAAGTAGATTTTTATTAGCAATGACTTTAAATCATATTCTTTTGTTGTGTCAGATAGTTGATAGTGCCAACTAATTATTCAATGAATTGCACTAAAACCATTCTTGATGAAGTTAAGTCCAAATAGCGAACGCCTGAACAACAATCATTAATGTCACATTGAGAGACTTTAAAGGTAAAACTCCTCCTCAACAGTGCGATTATCGACCGACATTTAAATTACGTGGTTGACGCTTAACATTTTGAACATCGATTGCTTTACAACTATAAATTGAGTCAATTCGAGATATTTTGACTTCATATTCTAATTACACTAATGGGTAACTGTCTCACACTCGACTTGGTTAAACTTCACCTACCAGGGTTTTATGCTAGAATTCCAAGACTTATCTCATGGAATCAGACTACAGTGAACATACAATTACTTAAACATTACAGGTTTGTGAATATTATTCACTTTCATGATTTATGTATCAACTTGACTAGCAAATCAACATATGCTCACTAGTGACTGGTTTGAAGAGGTATTTCCTGGAGTTCTAGTGAGAAGCAGTGAATAGTAGAGTTCAACTGGGTATGTTATAAGATAGTAATTCACTTGAAACAACGGTGTATGTGTTGCTCAATTTCGTGAATTAGTTGAAGTTAGACATTAATACTGTGGGATACCGGAGGACTGAGTGATCTATTGGTTAAGTGTTTGCGCACGAGACTGATAGATCATGGGTCCGAATCTGACGAGGCGGGATCGTGGGTGCGTGCTGCTGAGGAGCCCTATGCTGGGACGAAACGGCCGTTCAGGGCTTCCACGTTTTCCATGGTGGTCTAGCTTCAACTGACTGATGGTTTCTACTAATGTTTAAAATGTCAACCATTGGAACTCTTGATATCTTTTATTTCATCTTGTATAAAGTTGTAGGTGTGCAATGCTGCAAAGCCCTAAAGGATAAGGAATACAGCTGTCTAGTGTTTACAGGATCATATATTCCGGTTATTAAACTGGATACTTGTATTAAAACAGTTGATATTGACGACAAAATGTTCAGTTATCATATTTTCATCCAAACTAATAAATTACCACTGGGTTATAGACATTGAATCTTCATATATTGTTGCTCACATTAAAATGATCTTTAACTTGATTATGTACTGGAAACAGTTTTCTTTTCATAAATTCCTTATGAACACAAAGACTTGGATTGTTACCTCGAATTCTTATAGCTTTTCCTATGTGTAAGAAACGAGATCGAACACCATAAGGAAACCTATTATGAATACGATAACTAACTTTAAATGACATTTTTCTGTCCACTAAATGACCGCTATCGATCAAGTGTGATAGAACCGAGCTGCGTATTGTCTTGAAATTACCTATTCCTAACGATGAAGGGAGATGTTCACTAACTCTTTGATTCAGTAGCCTGGTAATGTGCCCAATATAACTTTCTCCAAAGGAGAAGCTGAATTCGTCGATTCACATGTAGCTACACGTGGATTAGTTTAATAATTTCATATATGCATATAAATATTACTGTATATTCGAGTAAATCCTGATGAGGATCGCTTATATCTATGTTGTTCTAAAGTTAAATTGTTATGGAAATCAGAAACGAAGCAGTATAAGGGAATATCAACATCTCGCTAGGTTTGTACCATAGTTAGTTTTTTTTTATAAATCCAAAAATGTCAAATAATGTTGAAACAATACAGTCTCTCCTTCCTAAATATTGATTAGTTCACTGAAGTTCATTGAAATTTCGTAGTTAATGGCATGTACAAAATCTTTGTTATCTGAAAAGATATTTATGAAAGATCTAGTGCACATGAAATGGTGAAGTAAAGCCATCACTCTTTTCGAAATGTTTGATTGTATGACAACGTAGGTTTCAAATCAAATGACTCAATACTTCCAAAATATTAGCAACAAAACAACTCTCATTATTGATAACATATTATGCGGATACAGTTTCAGGTACAAGAAACTTGTACTGTCAGTTACTATGTTAAGCCAGTACAACGTATTCTAGCTTCTGGACAGGCCAACTTATCCATTCTTCTTGAGTCACGTTTTAGACTTCTTCATTATTTACTTATCCACCCTGACTGCTTTTATATGAGCGTATGTCCATGTACATCTTATTCCATTCATCACATATCTGTAACTTATTTTTGTGTGACTATAAATGATAATTAACGCTTCATTAAAAGGAGTTGGCTCATGCACGTTCTCTACCGTGAGTCATTTCGCTTTGTTCTTCTGACTATCCGCCCAGATCAATGATCGTACAAAATATACATATCCGAGATTCATTCTCGTATTCAACTTATTTAATTCCATTATTCAGTAACGCGAGTTAATTCAACAATTCTATACAAGGATAGCCAGGATGTATATTTCAATAACAATCATTCATACAATCTAATTGGAGTCAAATCTCAGGCCACTAAAAACGTAACGAAAAATTCACATTGAAGTCATATGACTCTTAGTCTTTTCATTGTAATATTAGACTGGTAAACTTACTCTTATTAAACTATGTTGTAGAAAGTAAGCTGATGCTTGTAGAACATCACCTGCATGTGTAGCATTATGGTATGGATTATCCACATGATAATGTTCTTCAATTACTGTTAACCAACCGACTAAAATTTGACTAGGTACACGTAGTACACTAAGAGCATTGAAACTGTCCAATATCTTCATGCCTAAATAAGTGAGAGGTCTAAAGAAGAAGAAAAGATATACAAACAACGGATCTATTTTTAGAAACGATTAGGTTGCCGATGAAATAGTAAAGTTGAGCTCATATGAAGTCAACTTGTATCGTTTTACATTTTTCTATTGGTTGTTTGAATCTTCATATTGATGTTTAGGACTGTAATTGATCAGTGTCTTGTTAGAATATGTGAATCCTGTGAGGATTTTCTTAAGTCCTAGGATAAATGTTAACCCTGGGATGCAGGTATATCCAACTAACAAGTTTCGAATAGAACGAAACGCGCAATCTAAAGTCCACTGCTAGTCACCATTCATCTCTGCTTATAATTGTATTCTTTTATGTTGTATGAATAAGAATCGTCGGTTGGTTACGACCAGCGCGTGAGTTGATTTAAATAAACTTTATGTGTCACACTAACACAATCAGTGAAGAAGTCAAAAACGTGAAGTACAGTAATATCATAGTTATGTGACTCAATATGTTGAGTCATTTGAACGACGTATCTATACAAGTCGATGAGAACAAACCATTACTAAACATTTTCCACGAACTTTAACCAGAATGTTTAGATAATCAGAATCCCATGTTTTGCAACACCGATATCCAAAACACATTTCCCTTTATTTTCATTGTATACAGACTTTAGACAAAGACAAAGGGAATTTGAATATTCAATTAAAGATGAATTGATTTCATTTTCTATGGTGAATGCTTCAATAGTATATAAGTATAGTTTTTCAACTTAACCCTTCAGTTAAACTATATGAATATTTAATGGTTTCAGACACTCAATTAACAAAGTATATTTACAATCTTGAAAGGAACTGATCTTCCTCATGGCTAATTTTGCAACTATACAAACAAATATAATTCTTTATATAATATTGACTACGAAAAAGCATTTGATGTGGACAGAACAACACTATGGAAACTTCTTCGATACTACGGCCTGCCTCAGAAGATAGTCAATATGCTACAGAATCCCTATGATGGATTAAACAGCAAAATCGTGCATGGAAGACAGGTCACAGACTCGTTTGAAGCGAAGACCAGTGTCAGGTAACGTTGCTTAATCCCACTCTTTCTCTTTCTTCTGGTGGTCGACTGGATCATGAAAACGTCAGCATCTAAGGGGAAGCATGGGATAAAGTAGACATCTGGGATGCAGCTGGACGATCTAGACTTCACAGATGATCTGTCTCTCCTATCGCAAACGCAACAACAAATGCAGGAGAAGACGACCAGTGTAGTAGCAGCAGTAGGTCTCAATATACACGAAGGGATAAGCAAGATTCTTCGATACAAAACAACATGAAACAATCCAATCACAATCGACGGAGAAGATTTGGAAAATGTAAAAACCTTTACATATTTGGGCAGCATCATTGGTGAACATAGTGTATCTGATGTAGATGTAAAAGCGCGGATCGGTAAGGCAAGAGCAGTATGTTTTAAACTGAAGGACATCTGGATCTCAAAACAACTGTCTGTAAGCCAACACCAAACTCAGAATTTACAATACAAATGTCAAGACACTCTTACTGTACGAGGCGGAAACATGGAGAACTACGAAATCCATCATCCAGAAAGTACAGGTGTTTATTAACAGTTGTCTACGCAAAATACTTCGGATCCGTTGGCCGGACACTATCAACAACGACTTACTATGAGAGAGAATAAACTAGATTATAGCGGAGGAAGAAATCAGGAAGACTTTCTGGAAGTGGATAGGACACACATTGAAGAAAGCACTGAACTGCGTCACAAGTCAAGCCCTCACATGGAATCCTCAAGGCCAAAGAAAAAGTGGAAGACCAAAGAACACATTACGTCGAGAAATGAAGACAGACATGAAAAGAATGATTAACAATTGGATAGAACTAGAAAGGGAGGCCCAGGACAGAGTGGGTTAGAGAATGCTGGTCGGTGGCCTATGCTCCATTAGGAGTAACAAGCGTAAGTAAATAATATTATTTTAAATACAAAAATACTCTAATATTTACTTTTTACTAGTTAACCGTTCAAGATCAAATATGTTGAAGTCCCATTTATCAAAATTTGATAGGCAAGTTTCAATTTCTGGACTATTTTGTAAAGTTGACAGTGTTGTTGTAACATTTTCGGATCCTGAAAAAGAAAATCAAAAACATATAAAATCATTTGAAGTAACTATGCGAATAAGTACTAATTGAACTCTGTCTATTACGTTTCAGTTTTTGATGGAGTTTTGTTTTCGGAGCTGGATGGTTTGATTGTGGACCTTTCATTATTCTTCTGAACGATATCATCAGTACAAATCTTTTCCACCATCTCCAAGTTTCAGTTTTCCCAATGATTTAAACGACTTGTTATCGAAATACATTTAAGCTTTCTTAAACATTTAAGACGTCAGTTTTAAAAGTGTTTTAATATTGCAATGATTTCTTTTCAACTTATTAATTATTCATGCTCATGGTATATACTCACAAGCTTTGATTAAAAGCTAACATCCTATCACAATGTTACGAAATGGGAAGTTTAAACTTCGGCAGTGCAGCCGTTGATTACCTCCCCTCATGTTTATCCTTTGAATAAACGAAGGTGAATTACATTGGAATTCATGGAATCAATAATTGACAGGTCGAAAAAAAAAAGATGCAGTAGCTAAAACGATGGAAAACCTACTCAATTAAGAATAGACGTGAGACACATATGAAATATTCTATTGAACTATTACGATTCGAACATACATTAGAAAGAAATTTGTTGATGCCCTACTACTGAGAATTCTTCATTGTTCCAAAGTTCATGGCATAGAAAAAAAACAAGTAATAAGAGTTAGATAAATGAAAGTACGTTCTAGACATGAGATTTCAGGGATTGGAACTCATTCATGAGATGTATCCATACTCTTAAGAGAACTTATTATTCAAATATGAATAGAACCTAATATTACCTAGTCTCAGGTAAAACACATTATCAATTTTGTCATTTGGGTAATAACTGACCTTCTTCAAGATGAAATTGTTTACATCACTAAGTCATAGCTTAGTTATCAGTATCATATAATATTTTAGAGAAAGTGATTTAGCTATATCACTATTAAATGTGCATTATTACTTACCTTTTAGAGATTTAGCCAAAGATCGAAGTTTGAGTAAGTTCTCTGGTTCTCTAGCTAGATTTGATCCCTATTAATAAAAAGGGATAATGTTTAAACACTCAGTTTATCATATACTACTAATACTACTACTACTACTACTACTACTACTACTACTACTACTACTACTAATAATAATAATAATAATAATAATAATAATAATAATAATAATAATAATAATAATAGTAACGGTAATAATAATAATAATGAATAATTCGGCATAACAGTGCGCTACATAAAAGTATTTTCTTATATTAGAATGACTGCAAATCGACGTATTACGTAAGAATTCACTGATCGCATCCGGAATCAGATTAAAAATACAGTTAAACAAAAAAAATATAGAAGATATATTTTAAAGGAGAAATTCTTAAATACATAAATATATGATTGAGATCATGAACCGATTGATGTTAGACCACCATTGAAAAGCTGGAAGCACTAGACGGCCGTTTCATCCTAGTCTGAGACTCCTCAGCAGTGGGCATTCCGCCCGTGCGATTCGAACCCAGTGCCTTCAGTCTCGCGCGCGAACGCTCAACCTACTGAACCACTGAGCCGGCATGCAATGGTGTTAATGTCTAACCTCAACCAATCCACGAAATTGAGCGACCATCTTCCATTGTACTGAGGTAGACACCTGTTTTTACCCGACACGGATTAGCTCCACTGGTCACGGCTTTTCAATGGTGGTCTGACATCGATCGGTTCATGATCTCAATCAAAAAAACTTAACAATCTCCACAACTCCTAAACTGACATAATTATATGAAGAGAAAATAGGTCGTAGTGTCGGTTACTATGTTAAACCCATATAACTTATTCAAGCTTCTGGGTAGGGCAATCTATTCATTCTGTTTGAGTCATATTTTGACCTTGTTAATTATTTGCTTATCAACGCTGACTTTTTATATGAGTGCATACGTATGTGTACACTTCTACTCATCACATGTCAGCAGCTTATTTTTGTGTGACTATAAATAATGATTAACGCTTGATTAAATCGAGTTAGCTCATATGCCTTCTCCACTGAGCGTCATTTCGTATCTCTTTCTTCTATTCGCTTCGCTCCTCTGATTGTCTGTCCAGATCAGCTAGCGTACAAAATATATGTATTCAAAAATCCATTATCGTATTCAACTTATTTAATTCCGTTATTCACCAACGCGAGTTAAGTCGATAAATATATACGGGGAAAGCCAGGATGTATATTTCAATAACAATCATACATACGATCTAATTGGAGTCAGATATCGAGCTACTAAAAGCTATAAAGCGAATATATAATATGTGTTCATTAGTGACCAATCTTGAGAGGAAATTCCTGGAGTTCCAGTAAGTAACCATAACCAGTGGAGCAAATCTGTGTAGCGTGTGAAGCAGTTAACTAAAACAATAGATGATAGTCACACAGTGTCGTAAATTGATTGAAGTTAGATGTCAACACGGTTTGATGCAGACTCAATAATCTAAAGATTATGCGTTCGTGCGCGAGATCAAAAGTCCTGGGTTCGAGTCTTGTATAAGGTGTGGTAGATGGGAATCGCTGAGCAGTCCCACATTAGGACGATACAGTCGTCCAGTGATTCCAGGTTTTCGATGGTGATCTAACATAGATCGAGTCATGATTTCAATGAAATTCAAAAAACAGATGGTCCATATATATATAAGTGAACAATACTGTATTTGGTTAGATCATCGTCATACTTTACTCAGATATACAGGAATATTTATATAGATACATGGAAACATCAAACTAATCAATGCAATTTTCTTAGTCAATGATCATGATGAACAAATTCCTTAACTACATATATTAGGTAAAGTATACAACTGATATCAATTGGGTAAATGAACTAATGATAAGAATAATGAAATAACAAACTCCTGATCAATAATTCAACGTGGGAAGTAGGTCAAACTTGGCTAAACAAACTTTAAAATAATAATCACACAAAACCGAACACTCTCTTATAAATTTCACAAGTTGAAATCATGAGCCAATTGAAGCTGGACCGCCATGGAAAACCTGGAAGCAGTGGACGGCCGTTTCGTCCTAGTATGGGACTCCTCAGCAGTGCGCATCCACGAACCCTCCCCCGCGGGATTCGAACCCAGGACCTACTGGCTTCGCGCGCGAGCACTTAGCCATTAGACCACGAAGCCAGTAGGTCCTGGGTTCGAATCCCGCGGGGGGAGGGTTCGTGGATGCGCACTGCTGAGGAGTCCCATACTAGGACGAAACGGCCGTCCAGTGCTTCCAGGTTTTCCATGGTGGTCTAGCTTCAATTGGCTCATGATTTCAACTTGTGAAATTTCTAAAAATCTCCACAAAAACCATTCTGATAATAACTCTCTTATAAAGTCAAACTGAATTGCTCATACGGAGTGTCATCAAAAGTTGTTTCACATGAATAATCAATAATAAAACAAAATAGTTTAATCTAATTTCATAGAAAGATCTATGAAAAATAAATAGATTGAAACCATTTAACATGAATGATTAGACTTACAGTAATCAAACCTTCAATTAAATCTGCTGTGATAGGATCATTTGTTCGACTTAATGGTTTCATTATTTGATCAACAAATACATTTGAACTACATATTAAATTAATAGCTTTTTGTAGATCTTTTGCTACTGGTAATGGACTGCGAACACGTGCAGAATTCAAAATTCCAATTACCTGAAATAACAAAACAAAGTAAAATCAATTTTATGAACATTTTAACCAAATTATTCAACTGTTTTCAATAATATGATTTGTAATGGTCGAGGGTGAGGAGAGTCATCTCACCATTTCGAAATGTTCTCACATGGCCACGTGTATACAGCCACTACCAGGGGAGTCCTACTCACTGCCTTCTTGAGGCAGGGGTATTGTTTACAAAATTGAGAAGATGAAAAGCGAATGTCAGGTGCTTTAACCGGGTTGGTGGTCCACCTAGAGGAGTTGGAAAAACCTGATTCCAAACCAATGGTGCACATGGGCCATAGTATCCTGAAGGGACAAATGGCGTATGAACCAATTATTATTCACTGGCTACTATGAGACTGAATCTCCTGACAATGCACCATTACTTTGTGGATCAGACCTTTAGGTCGAAGGCTCAGGGGGTAGCTCCCTAAGAAAATCATCTGAATTGATCTGGACACCTGGGCAGTATTACAGCCCACACACAAATAGAATGAGTTTTATGCCGCATATGTATTCGGTGCCCCTTTGTACCAATATATATATATATAGTGCACAAAATATAAACAAGAACAATCAAGGAAATACCAAACGTATATGTAGATGGCTGACACAGTAAATCAAGAGAACTAACTGTCCTTAAAATTACAATATGATTTAATAGTAACAAATTCACATTGTTTTGGAGAACACACAGTATCTACAACCGAAACCTCAAAGAATGATAACGTCCAACTTATAAGAGATATGTATTCCTTCAACTGAAATGTAAATGCAAGAACATTTATTGAACTAACATGCGAGATTTTGAATATTTCTTAATTTTCAGATAGTCTTTGGATAAATAACTACTTAAAGGTAATAAGTCTTCTATACCAGGATGAATTAGCTATCTAGTTCTATTTAGTTGTCCAGGTCAAGTCAGTGAATGATGCGAGCTGAGAGAGATTCAAAATAAATGTGTTTCTGATATTAACAGGCAAAACATTAAAATTTGTCAAACCACAAATTATTAACTGGAAGTTACTTTGACATAAAGATATGGATTTTTTACAATTTAGATAATGTAACACATTATCGAGTGAAAAATATCAACATTCAAGAAAAGAACACTGATGGTATTCGGGAATAGTAGGCTATATACCTAGTGTGTTAACATGAGTTCAACAGTTAACCTCCACTAGCATTAATCGGATTGTGTATTTTTATATTTATGAATTAACTTTAGGAATGTTTACATCATTATAATTACTTTGATTTTAGACAATTAAAACATACTACTATTGAAAATAACAGTAGTTTGTGTAGTTACTAAGTTTTTATGAAACCCTACACTGTTTTGTGCAAGTAATTAAATGGGACTAATAGGTTCATTATTTTTTAAAAATATATATTTAGTAAATATATTTAAGAGGAAGACCAATGAACGCATTACGTCGAGAAAAATGGAGACAGACATCAGAATAATGAACAACAATTGGATAGAACCAGAAATGAAGTCTCAGAACAGAGTGGGTTGGAGAATGCTGGTCGGCGGCCTATGCTCCATTGGGAGTTACAGGCGTAAGTAAGTAAGGAATTAGTGATGTCACACAGACTGTATTTACTGTGTTTTTCTGTTTTCTATATATATACATTAAAGGATAAGTTATTAATTACTCGATAAATAACTTTATGACTACAATTCAAAATTGGGAATTATGTGAACAATAACTAAGAATATCTATGAAACTCACTTTACACATTGGTGACGAAAAGTCCGGACATCTAGAATGTAATAACGCACTTAAACCAACAATATTGTTTGTATCTATAAAACAAATCACAAAAAGATTGACATTAAAGAAATTGTACCCAAAATGAATATAGAGTGTATTGATGTCAGTTAAAACTATATAAAAACACACGTAATAATAAGCATTAATACTCTTAAAAGTGATTAGAATTGTAAATATGTATCTCTTTCTTTATTGTTTTCATTTGTATGCCTTTGCAGGTACACTAGTGTTGAATAATCAATTGAGTAGAACTCAACATATGGAACTCAAAACAACTTTCAGCCAATATCAATGTTAGAATCTTCAATACCGACGTCAAGGCAGTCAGTTCTACTGTACAAGTATTATAAATATTACAAGTATTTATAACAACGTTGTCTACTCAAGATACTCAACATCCATTGGCTAGATTCCATCAGCAACAGCCTTCTGTGGGAGAGAACAACCAGCTTCCAGCTGAAGAAGAAATTAGGAAAAGACGATGGAAATGGATAGGACATACATTACGCGAATCACCAAACTGCATCACGAGGCAAGCCCTAACTTGGAATCCTGAAGGTAGGCGGAAAAGTGGAAGGTCAAAGAACATATTACGTCGGGAAATAGGAGCAGATGTGAAAAGGACGAATAACAACTGGAAGGAGTTGGAAAGGATTGGTTGGGACAGGGTTGGATGGTGATTGCTGGTGAGCGGCCTATGCTCCTTCACGAGGAGTAAGAAGCGTAAGTAAGCAAGTAACAGGTACACTAGTACATTAAGCTATATTGTTGAAGACTGTAGGAAAATATGATTTGTTCTTCGAAAGGTTAAAAGCTCCACGACTAAACCATCTAGCTTAGAGAATAGAACTCTATCAAAATAATTTACGTGATCTACAAATCATCTCTACCATTTCAATAAGATTTGTTATATGAAAATGGATATATTTGTAGTTTATGTAATATTATGTGATCTTTTTGATGACTGTTTTAATCTTTCACTGATCTCAAAAATTAAAAATTACATTAGTAGTTCATTTATTCATAGTTTCAAATGTATGAAAATGTCTTGGTATTATAAAGTGATATAATCACATGAAACGTTGAGATGGTGTAGAAGATTTGTAGCTCAGGTGGATGATTTTGATAGAGTTTTATTCTCTGAAAAGTCTATCAATCTGAAGCTTGCGCTGATGATGTCGTTCAGAAGAACGATGAAAGCTGCACGACCAAACCATCCATTTCAGAGAACAAAACTCCATCAAAAACATGCAACGTTGTCAAACAAGAAATAATATCTGGTCAACATAATAACTAATTATGATGATAATAAACATGATATAACTTCCAATAAAAGTAAGTAAAACCAACCCATAAAACAAAGATTTACGAGAATTATTATGTAATTTGAAATCGTTATGAATTTCAATAGTTGAGTCAGTTGAAGCTAAACCAGTGAGAACCTGCAAGTACTGGATCACCGTTTCGTCCTATCGTGGGACTCCTCAGTAGTGTACATCCACGATCCCGCTCCGGGGATTCGAACCCTGGACCTATCGATCTCACACGCGAACGCCCAACCTCTAAATCAGTGAGCTGGTCGGCATCCAACGGTGTTAATGTCTAACTTCAACTAATCCACGAAATTGAGCGACACATCCACCATTGTCTTCAATGAGTCACTCCCTCACAACAAACACAGTTGAATACCACTGATCACAGTTTCTCACTAGAACTCTAAGAAATGACTCTTGAAGGCAGTTACTAGTGAGCATATGTTGATTAGTATCAGAAGAGGTTTATGTGGATATTATGGTGATTTTTTAATAGTTGAGATCATGAGTCAATTGAAACTAGACTATACTATCCACAATAACCCCTTCTGATTATGAATTATCAAAAGAGTAGTCAATAAATAAATAATTCATTCCAATATCATAAACTAAAACGCTTTCAACTAATCACACTGGGTTTCATAGTAAACTTTAAAGAGATTAATGTGTTCATTAGATAGTGAGCAACATATATTTTACAAATATTAATACTTTAGTATATTTTTTAACATTTAACAAGATGTTCATCTGTTTTGATCGCTTTTGATATAAGTACAATAATGAATGTATGTATAAATGAAATGTAGAACCATATTGTCTTATTGTGTTGTGTGCTACTGATATCAACAGATATAAGTAGTATGTATCACTAATCAAAAGTGAAATCCCAGGCGGCAGAAGATTAAGAAAATCGAAGGAAAAGAACGAGAACATAGATTAATTGGTGTGGAAACGAAAGAACAATGAAGTCCGGGACTATTGGTTGGACCTTTACTGTATTGTTCTCAGATTTTAATAAGATGTTCTGTGATTTTGTATTCAAATACATTTGGTTGTCCTCACTTATGTTCTCGTTCACTACACAATTATATGAAAAAGAATTCAAAACTATAGCTGTTCTATGCCAATCTACATAACTGATTTATCAGGGTACAGAATGATAACTATCCTCCAATGGGTAAAACTTCAGAAAACTACTCATCTAAGTTAACACATCGTTGTAGCTTATTCACTGGTAATGTACTGAGATAGAAGATCTTTGCTTTAAGTAATGGGTTACTGATCATGAAAGAAAAACAAGTAATCAATACGGTGGATTAACTTAATATCAACATTTTACATCACTGATATATTTTTCTACCTTCGATTTTGATCGATTCTTCTATGTAGTTTGCATGATCATTTTGAGCAATTTACTTATTACAATGGCACAAAGCACAAGATTATTCTCTATTGAAATTTAAGTTTGGTTGAGATTTTATGCAAACAGCTATATTTTGACTCAATAAAATTCTTTACATTCACAAACTAGATATTGTAGTAGGCAACAGAAAACACTGTTATTGGGCACTCGTCACTAATAGGTACTTTTAATCGTGATAAAAATAATGCTTTCTGGCGGATTCGATCTCTTGTCACTCACTCTCACATTTAAAGACTTTACCAATGAGCTAATCGGGCAGTAATTGACCTTCGTTAGCATTCAGATATATCTACAACTAATTTATCACTGGGCAGTGACCAGTATCATGTTTGTCAGATCGTTCTTAGCAATGATCAAATTCTATCGACCAAGTTTAGATGTAGCCACTAATCAAAGTGGACTACATCGAGAATTTAATCAGCACAAAGAAAGACTTGACATACATGACACTGGTCACTACCCAATGATCCGTGATTGTAAGTATACTCTAGCTTCTCATGGAAACATGGAACACCAGAAGAAATAATTCTTAATTTTTCTCATTCTTTTTGTTAATAAATCATAATTCTAATCTATTCATATTATATCAGAGACAATCTATAACTTCAAGAAGATCTTAACTCTCAACTAAAATCAACCCAGAAAAACTCATTTCCAAAGAATAACAAGAATTAAAATCTTGACACTACATGGTCCAATTTAATTCAACACTGAAATCGAACGCGTCGACAACTCCACTTATTTTGGAAGTTTGATCAGCCCTAATGGGTTGGTGTCTGACGAATTCTCAGCACCGATGCAAAAGGTTCGTTTGGCTTTTACCAACGTACGTCACGTATAGCGAAGGCGAGATATCCATCTATCAATAAAAGGATGACTATACTGCGCAGCAGTTCATTCTGTTCTACTTTATGGCCATTGAGAGTAGACGATACTCGTAATTTGTCAGGATTCGATCACAGATGTCTCAGAAATATTGCTCGCATCTTCTGGAATCACCGGGTAAATAATAGTGAGGTTAGATACAGGGTATTAAGGAATGATAGTAAATCAGTTGATGAGGTTGTGAATCTTCATCAACTGAGATCGTTGAGTCAAGTGTTATGTACGCCTGAACACCGATTATCACGACGCGTAATGCTAACCGGTGTTAGAAATCGTCGGAAGAACGTTTGGGTGCGGCCAAATCAATACGTGGCATCAGTCATTGAAGTCATTTACTTCTAGTCTGAGCCATGTAGATAGATGCAGACTACTTGGTTGCGGTCCACATGACTATCGTAACAAATAATTGGAGACTGTGTGTGACGTGACTCACAATCGATCACAATGGCGTCAGCGTATAGAGTAGTTATATTCATTTATGTTCTTTTCTTTTCTTCTTCTTCTTCTTCTTCATTATTTTAATTTTTTTATATTTTAATAGTTAAAATGTGATTTTGTTTATTACTTAAACAGAATCAGGAAGAAAATCTTAGAACAAAAACCTTTTTTTTTCTTAAAAAATATACAAAAACAAAAAAAAACTTTTTAGTGTAGAAATGAACAACAGAATGATGATGAATTTGAAAACTTTTAGTTTACTTTAATAAATTCAGCCATGTTTTTTAAAAAAAAGTATTGGTTATTTATGACATGAATGTGTATCATTCCATGTTTTGTGCCCATGTTGAAATAGGTAAATGGTTGTTGCTATATCATTCTTCTTTTTTTTTAGAATAATCAACTAAGATACAACATAGCAGAATGGACTGTAGACACAATTGCTACTCCTTAAGAGTTGTCGAATGCTAGAATTCGCTTCCGGCCGAGCTAGTCCAAGCGACTTTCAAGGAGTCCTTTAAGAGGCAACTTGATCTATTCTTAAGCACTAAGGATAGTATCATACTATGATTTATCAATTTCTTTTTCCTCTTTTATCGTTAACATATCTAGGTTCCTGCCTGGAGTTATTCGTGATCCCCTGCTACTAGACACGGAAGCTTGTTAAACGAAAGCTTCTTCTATTCCGTCCACAATCATTTGAAGTCATTCCAATGGAAGTTTTAGTAAAAAGGATCATAATAGATTGTGTTAAAATTAGTTTGCTTTTTTTGTTGTTGAAAAATCCAAACATATACTTATTAATTTAATAGATGAATTCATGAGTCAATTGAAGCTAGATGGTGGTTACATTCAGTGTATAAGACTATTCAGCAGTGTGCATCCATGCTACTGCCTCGTGAGATTCGAACCCAACTTTGTGGATTGGTTAAAATGAGATACTAACACTAATGGATGTTGGCTCAGTGGTCTAGAGGTTAATCATTCGCGCGCAAGACTGATTGCTCCTAGGTTCGAATCTTGCCAGGCGGGATCGTCAATGCACACAGCTGATGCGTTTCAAACTAGGACGAAACGGTCGTCTAGCTCTTTTTATGTTCTCCATGGTGGTTTGACTTAAATTGACTCAGGAATACAAGTATTAAATTACTAAAATGTCCAAAAAAAACGCATCTCTGATTATATAACTTTTTGGAAATGAATGAAACTCTAATTTATAAATGAACCAATCAGATTTAAGATAGCACGTTTTCAATTTAGGCTCGAAATTTATTCATTCATTTGACTTAATAGCGTTTTGGCATTATAGTTTATGTCAGTTCGTGATCTAACTCTTAATCTTAACATTCAAATGTCAATCTTAATCCCAGTTCCTCATATTAACCGATAACCCTCATTTAACCATGGTAAGTAGGCGGACATTTTCAACCACATTGTAACGTTGTTCAAAAAATGTCCATATATTGTAGTCTTACTTATCAGTCAGTATCAATAGATAGACAGTAGATTGAATATTTTTTCGAAAGATTATTTCATTCAACATTGAATCATTCTTGCTTTCTGAAATCTACAGATAGCTGAAGAAGAAATTAGGAAAAGACGATGGAAATGGATAGGACATACATTACGCGAATCATCAAACTACATCACGAGACAAGCCCCTAACTTGGAATCCTGAAAGTAAGCGGAAAAGAGGAAAGCCAAAGAACACATTACATTGAAAAATAGAATCAGATATGAAAAGGATGAATAACAACTGGAAATAGTTGGAAGGGATTACTTTAGACAGGGTTGAATGGAGAATGCTGGTGAGCGACCTATGCTCCTTCACAAGGAGTGACAGGCGTAAGTTAGTATGTAAGTAAGATATAGATCTGTTATTCGAATGGTTTAGTGAATGGTTGCAGCAATAGACTACTGTTTTATGTTAGAAATTAATTGTTAATCATATTTAATTTTGGATAATCAGTTGATCTGTTTCTTTTATTTTACATTCAATCATTTCAAGTGTTGAGTCAAATAATTTTAGTTCCGTTATTTATCATCACTCAGTTATATTTACTATTTAAATCATTTCGAAAGGATTGTTCATATTTACTAAATTAGATGATTTTCAGTTCAGTATACTATTATTCTAAAACAATATAAATGAATTATAAGCAAAGATGGATAGTGGCTAGCAATGCAATCCAGGACGCGCGTCTCGTCCTGTTTGGGACTCGTCAGCTGGATGTACCTGCATCTCAGAGTTGAAATTCACCCTGGGACTCGAACTCAGTACTGTTCTCGTCAAATGCCATCGCGTTATCCACTTAGCTACTGAGTCCTGATAGCCACTTGCTTGTGCAATGGGGTGAAGTTTAATTCACTTGGTATTGTTTTACTTGAATCTTCCCATTGATGTGAATGAATTGTGATTGGAGGTTTGAGTTCAGTGATTGAGAAAAAAATCAAAACAAGGAAGTAAACAATGACGGGTTTAAGGTCAATAAGAACCAATCAACATTGAGGTATACAGAACAAGCTGTGAAACGTATATGGAGAAATTCGAACATTTCATTTCTATCTTAAGTTTGTACTGATGATGATGTTCAGAATGAATGATGAATGCGCTATGACCAAACCATCCAGCTCAGAGAACAAAACTCTATCAAAATCATCCACCTGAACTACAAATATTCTCCATAACCTCAGATTCATTGGAATGTCAATGTTGACATATAATGAATATATTCTGCATCGTCTATTTAACAAAATAATGGGCATCATAACTAGATCTTTAAAATTAGAAATCAAGTAAGACGAATAAAATATTTATCTACATCAATGATATTGTTGTCGAAGAATGTTTTCCGTTTGGCTTACTACATCAAGAAATTGCATGCTCTTGGGATTACTTGTCATTTACCCTTACAATTTGTCAATCCTTGCATATTACCCATTATTCTCTACTGTTCTCCATTTTTCTTTCCCGGGCTTTTGAGAAAAGACTTTGCTGTATTGAGGAGAGTGCTGAAGGCAATTAGTAAGATCTGTGGTGATTCTTTCGAGGTCATAATTAATATAGTTGTGGATAGACATTTAAAGTCATGCAAACTCCTGGCAGGTGTTAATTTATCAGATACTAACCATCCTCTTCACTCTTATCTTTCTCCTTGTATATCTTCTGGTAGAACGAGACGTAATTACATTAAAATCCATGCACGCAAGCAAAATTATAAAAGTTCTATAATACCGTACCTAGAGTTAACCTAGTCAATAATCTGCATTCTCAACATGTCTCTAATTTGAAAAGTTGTACAGTTTTTCAGATTTCTTTTCTTTATACCTTTTTTTCCTTTTTTGTCTTTGTCACTGTTTTATTTTTTGCGCAAGTAACTTGTTGAAATACCCTGTGCTGAGAATTCTATATTGTACCAAAACTATAATATTGAATAAAGCCATTAATGATAATAATAATATAGTGCTTTAAGTGATGTTTGAATAGTATAGGTGTAATCATTAGGGTTTACGAAGTTTACATTATAAATCCTCCAAAACTTCTCCATCAAATATGATTTGATTGATGCATAGAAAACTAATTCACTTTCAACAAAACAAACCAATAACACACTAACCCATCGAATCTTATTTGAATGTAAATGAATTTAACTCTACTATTAAACAAGAACATTTTATCAACTTCTAAAATATAATTGAAAGAGAATACATTTACATCTCTATAAAATGTTGTGGTTTTTTTTTTCTAAATGATCAAATACATTACAAAAAAATTTCACCCCCCCTCAGGTTAAATCGTTGTGAAGGCGCGGATCGGCAAAGCAAGAGCAGCATATTTACAACTGAGGAACACCTGGAACTCAAAGCAACTGTCAACCAACACCAAGGTCAGGATTTTCAATACAAATGTCAAGACAGTTCTAATGTATCAGGCGTAAACTTGGAGAACTACGAAATCCATCATCTAGAAAATACGGGTGTTTATTAATAGTTGTCTACGCAAAATACTTCGGATCCGTTGGCCGGACACTATTAGCAACAATGTACTGTGGGAGAGAACAAATCAGATCCCAGCGGAGGAAGAAATCAGGAAGAAGCGCTGGAAGTGGATAGGACACACATTGAGGAAAGCACCCAACTGCATTACAAGACAAGCCCTCACATGGAATCCTCAAGGCCAAAGGAAAAGAGGAAGACCAAAGAACACATTATGCCGAGAAATGGAGATAGACATGAGAAAAATGAACAAGAATTGGATGGAACTAGAAAAGAAGGCCGAGGACAGAGTGGGTTGGAGAATGCTGGTCGGCGGCCTATGCTCAATTAGGAGTAACAGGCGTAAGTAGAAGCTATTGGAATCAGATAATCTATGTGAAATGTAACAGGTGTAAGTAAGTAAGTAAGTCAGGTTAAATCACTAAAAAAGTTTTGTTTTTTTAGTTAGAAAACTACTACATACCTGAGTTTCTAGTTTTTCGTACGGAGATAAATTCTCTAAATTTCCTGAGTTGAAAGAAGAAAAAAAAAGAAAACAACAATAACAACGAGGAAAAATAGAAAAAAATTTTTTAAAAAACTTATTCTTATATTAAAATACAGTAAAATTGTTATCCGGAGGGTTTTTTTAAAAAAAAAACAAAACAAAAATAGAAAGAAAGAACACATTTTGTATGATATAATAGAATTTAAGTAATATAAATCATATAGATGTTATATCATATATTCTTGTGAGATAAGGTAATGTTTGACATTTGGTTTTCAGGAGAATTAAACGTCATTCAAGTGACAAACTCGTTCGAGGTAAAGACTGGTGTCAGACAAGGTTGCTTACTCTTACACTTTCTCTTTCTCCTGGTGATCGACTGGATTATGAAGATGTCAACATCTGAAGGGAAACATGAGATACAGTGGACATCTAGGATGCAGTTGGACGATCTAGACTTCAAAGATGATCTGGCTCTTCTATCGCAAACGCAACAACAAATGCAGGAAAAAATGATCAGTGTAGAAGCAGCCTCACCAACAGTAGGTCTCAATATACACAAAGGGAAAAGCAAGATTCTCTGATACAAAACAACATGCAACAATCGGATCACAATTTACAGAGAAGATTTGGAAGATGTAAAAACCTTCCCATGTACAGGCAGCATCATTTATCAACACAGTGGATCTCATGCAGAGGTGAAAGCGCGGATCGGTAAAACGAGAGAACTATATTTGCAACTGAACAACATCTGGAACTCAAAACAACTGTCTCTAAACCAACAGCAAACCTAAAATTTTCAATACAAATGTGAAGATAGTTCTACTGTATGGGGCGGAAACCCGGAGAACTACGAAAGCCATCATCCAAAAAATACAGGTGTTTGTTAACAGTTGTCTACGCAAAATACTTCAGATCCGTTCGCCGGACACTATTAGCAACAATGTACTGTGGGAGAGAACAAATCAGATCCCAGCGGAGGAAGAAATCAGGAAGAAGCGCTGGAAGTGGATAGGACACACATTGAGGAAAGCACCCAACTGCATTACAAGACAAGCCCTCACATGGAATCCTCAAGGCCAAAGGAAAAGAGGAAGACCAAAGAACACATTATGCCGAGAAATGGAGATAGACATGAGAAAAATGAACAAGAATTGGATGGAACTAGAAAAGAAGGCCGAGGACAGAGTGGGTTGGAGAATGCTGGTCGGCGGCCTATGCTCAATTAGGAGTAACAGGCGTAAGTAAGTAAGTGAACATCATTCAGACTTTCATGTGACAACTCAATACAGTATAGCTCAATCCTGTTTAATATGAGGGCCAAATACCGTCCAGGCTTAATATTTGTAGCCCAAATAGTATGGCTCAATTGATTTTAGAAACTAAGCATTCTAGTGCGAGAACGATAGGTCCTGGGTTTGAATTTCCCGAGCTGGGATCGTGGATGTGCACTGCTGAGGAGTACCACAATAGGACGAAACGGCCGTTCAGTGAGTTCAGGGTCCAGTATAGATGTAAGTAGTTAAAAAAAATATTGTATCATTTTTAATTTGAATAAATTCTATCATTTGAAATGAGACAAGGAATGATTATTTGAATTGATGGAAATTACGTGATTCTATATTTGTATATATATAGAAACTTAAATCATAGTTGATAGCTTCATTCTACTACTCGCTGAACATGGAGTCTATCACTATTCATCTTAACATTTGTAGAAGTAAGACTTAATATACGTGACTAAAATGTTTTATATCAGTTAAATATATATAGAAGAGTATAAAACCGCTATGAAGACAGGTATTTTAAGATTAAACAACTCATCTCGTTTTGTGCATATTAATCTAAGATAACTAAAATCAAATTAATCACAATTGATTGGTCATTGAGTAGTGACCAATGTCATGTATGTCCTGTCTTTCTTAATGCAGATCAAATTTTATTGACCAAGTTGCAATGTGGCCACTAGTCTAACTGACTCGACATTGCGTACACTATTTTAAGTTATGATAGTGGTTGAAGGTAGTCAATAAGAAGGACCTGAAAAACATGACATTGATTACCATCCAGTGATCAATCAATTGTGAATACATCTCAGTCCTACAGGAGGTGAATCACGATCCGGATAGCTCAGTAGTAACATCTTTGACTATGAAACTGGGTGATACGGAATTGAAATCATCAAGAAACACCAATTCTTTCAAGATTACAGATACACCTTACTGACGAGTGACAAATAGCACGGAACATAAGTTCACGGTTTCCTGTTGAGTACCTTCAACCATCATCTTAAAATCAAATTAAACTGAATTCATGGTAACATTATCATTGTGTTTTTTTTGTTGTTGTTTCAGAAATATCACTATAGTATAATAAATTATAAAGAATCTATTTTCAGGATAGATCAATAATATATACGCATAAATCTGTGCATATAAATCAGTTCATGTGAAAGGTGGAATTTTTATTTATTTATTATTTCAAAACTAACAACCACATATACGCACACACACACACACACACACCCCCCCCCACACACACACAAGATCAAACACAAAAGCGCATAGTTACAAACATGTAAAAATAAAAATAAAAAGGATACACATTGGTAATATAATGAAATTTATCAAATTTTCGCAAAGTCTAATAAACTGACATGAAAGAAAGTGACATTTTGTGTAATACTTATTATGTGTACACGTAGTTTTCATCTATACATTATGGGAAACTATGGAAAACTGAAAGTTAGATGGACAAAAATTAATAATAATAATAATAATAATAAATTAATATCGAACTTGATAATCATTGGATCATTGTTAGAACGTTCGGTTATAGTGGTTGGGTTTACACGTTTACACGTATGGGACGTTAATTTACGTTAGACGAATATCTACAATAGATTCCATTCCTAGTGTCTATTCTACAGGACTTCAACACAACTCAGATCATGAACACGTGATTAGCCTGACTAGAAAGTAAATATATTTCCACACCAAAACCCGACACAATCCAACAACAATGAACAATCAATAATAATAATAATAATAAGGATAAGGGAAAATAAAACTCATCTGACACCTGTCAGACTATCTGCATGTTTGACTAAGCAGATAACCAATCATTATCATTCTCGCCCATACATCAGTCGTGAATAGTATTTAGAATAAATTTATAATGTTTATGTTTGTAGATCGTATTTGTCACAGACTAATGTCAGTTGGAGTATTATTAGGAAGCAGAAATCTCTACAGCTGGTTTGTCTTAGAGTTGAAGTACTCAGCAATGGGCACTCATTTATTCACCAGGATTCAAAGCAAGGACACCTCAGGGTCTTTTAGTATGTGTTTGTCATTCAAATTATTAAGTTAACATCTAATGACTTACTTCTCTAACCACAGTCAACACTAAGCAAGATGTTTATTATGTATGTTTATTATGTATTAGTGCCAAAGACTTCCTTGTATTTCCTAATTTCATAGTTTTTACTGTATGAATTATTGGATAGATATTGTTTTGGAAGATGTAAAAACCTTCCCATATCGGGGTAGCATCGTTGACGAGCACAGTGGATCTCATGCAGATGTGAAGGCACGAATCAACAAAGTAAGAGCAACATATCGACAACTGAAGATTATCTGGAACTCAAAACAACTGTCTCTAAACCTTTTGTGGGGCCCTTTATTTTGTTGTCATTTAGATCGGACGATGTTTGTTGACTGGCTCTCCACTTCAGTGACCCGTGGATCTGACTCCAATTTGATCTTATGAATGATCGTTGTCGAAATGTATATCCTGACTGTTCTCGTATATCTTGATCGACTTAATCCACGTTGCGTGAATAACGGAATTAAATAAGTCAAGTACAAGTACTGACTTTTGAATACATATATTTTGTATACGAAACGAATGGAATAGAGAGAAGAGGAACGACGCGCAGTGGAGATGGCGGGTAAGCCAACTCCCATTTAACCAAGCGTTAATCAATATTTGTAGTTACACAAAAAAAGTTACAGACATGTGATGAATAGAATAAGAAGTGTACAAGCATATGCTTATATAAAAGCAGTCAAGATTGATAAGCGAATAATTAACAAGGTCAAAATATGATTCAACTAGAAGGAATAGATTGGCGTGCCCGAAAGCTAGAATAAGGTATATGGGCTTGACATGATAACCGATACTACAAGCCAACACCAAACTGAGAATTTTCAATACAAATGTCAAGACAATTTTACTGTATGAGACGAAAACCTGGAGAATTACGAGAGCCATCGTCCAGAAGATACAAGTGTTTATTAACAGTTGTCTATACAAAAAATCCGGATCTGTTGGCCAGACACTATCAGCAACAACCAACTATGGGAGAGAACAAACCAGATTCCAGTGAAGGAAGAAATCGCAAAGATGCGCTGGAAGTGAATAGGACACACATGAGGAATGTACCCAACTGCGTCACAAGGCAAGCCCTCACATGGAATCCTCAATGTCAAAGGAGAAGATGAAAAATAAAGAACATGTTATGCCGATAAGTGGAGACAGACATGAGAAGACTGAACAACAATTGGATAGAACTAGAAATGAAGACTCAGGACAGAGTGGGTTGGAGAATGTTTGTTGGATGCCTATCGCCCATTGGAAGTAACAGGCGTAAGTAAGTAATTATTGTTTGGGCCAATGATCTCTGATCTGTTTGATGCGTACTGCAAAGGCGTTTCATAATAGTTCAAAACAGCTATAAACTGCTTTTTAGTTTTCAGCGGATAACCAAATTTGGTCGGTTCACAACACCAATATTATTTCTAATTACTTAGCGTCTTTTTTGAAACTGTCTGTCAATGAAATTTGGCAATTTCCGTAACCACTTACTGGCATTTATAATGTGTCCATTAGTGACCAATCTTGAGAGGAAATTGCTGGAGTTCCAGTAAGTAACCTTAACCAGTGGAGCAAATCTGTGTAGCGTGTGAAGCAGTTAATCAACTAAGACAATAGAAGATAGTCACACAGTGTCGTAAATTGATTCAAGTTAGATGTCAACACGGTTTGATGCAGACTCAATGATCTAAAGTTTATGCGTTCGCCCTAGGTTCGAGTCCTGTATAAAGTGTGGTAGATGGGAATCGCTGAGCAGTCCTACATTAAGACGATACGGCCGTCCAGCGATTCCAGGTTTTCGATGGTGATCTAACATAGATCGGTTCGTGATTTCAATAAAATCCAAAAAACGGATGGTCCATATATATATCACTTGTTGCATATAGTATATTAGTACTTTCTAGATACACGCATTGTTATTATAATTAAAATTTCAATTATATTTATCTCAAATAAGATGCTATACAATATTTGATAATAACAGTAAACTTACTTTCCTTGCTCATGTAGCACAGTGACAGAATCAATAACATTGGCTTTCAGTTCATCCGTTGATGCTATTTCATTATCTACGGACTCTTTAATTGTCGGCTGTCTAGTCTCTGATTTCATTTGAAATCTACACTCATCTTTTAGGAAAATCTAAAATGCAAAGTGTGAAATTAATAATCATGGCTTTATTCGCCACAAAAAACTTTGGTACTAATTTCTTGAAGTATATATTCAAATAGTGATTATTCAACACATAATTTAAAATTACAAGTGAAGCTGGATGATGGCTAGCAGTGGAATCCAGGACACGCATCTCGTCCTGTTTAGGACTCATCAGCTGGACAGACCTACATCTCAGAGTTGATGTTCATCGCGGTTCATCCAGCTGACGAGTTTTGAAATAGAAAGAAACGCACGTCCTGAATTTAACTGCTAGCCACCATCCATCTTCGCTTACAATGCTTATGACGTAAGGTAATATGAAAACGATCCGCACAGGATGAACGAATGCCAATAAAAGATGGATCAATTGCAATTATAATCATCAATTGAAAAAACTCAAGCAAACAATACAAAATAAATTCACATTTTAAAATTGTCACTACCCTCATACAATCATGAAAGTTTGGTTACCAGTTTAGTTCCCATCCTATAAAGTGTTTAAAGTTTCTAGTATTTAATTTCATAGCAATATGTGATCCTTTTTAATTACCATGTGAGTACTTCCAGTTAGTATCCATAGTGATTCATTCATAACAAATTTAAAACAAGCAAGTCAAGTGCAATAATTGCGCATTTAATGATAATGATAATGATAAAGCCTTTAAAATTAGGTATGAGGAATTGTGTTTTTAAACATAACAACAGAAACTGATCAAACTATGCTCTGATTTGTGTACATTCTAATTTTGAAGAATAATGATCAATGAAAAACTCATATGCAAAATGAAATTTAAACGTAGTTTTATTCAATTTCTTTTATCAAAACTGATAAGATGTAACAATCCAAGTAACATACAATGAAGTTAATCGACAAAAAACACTAGATCTATGCTTAATACTATTTGGTATTCATCAAAAAAGAAGTACTTGTAATCTTGAGAGAAATCGATAGTGCCTGACGAATTCAATCTTTTGTTATCCAACTTCACAATCAGAGATGATACAACTGGGCTTTCCGCGATGTGAATTTACATCTTAGCAAAGTGAACGCGTTGTCGAATTACCTAGTGACTAGTGACCATATTACAACTTGATCGACAGAACTCTATCCGTACGAAGAATGACTTGATATACATAACAACAACAACAACAACTACTACTACTACCCAGTGATCAGTCATTTATAAATGAACAGGTGATCTTAACATATTTAAGTCGTTCAAAAAATTTGTCGGCTGATCAGTTAGTCACTGATAACGGATAATCCGAGATGTTAGTGTATCGGTTAAAGCTATAAAAACCGACATCAACGAAATGATTGAGGAAACAGATACCGACATCACATCTAATTGATACACAATAAAAAACCTATTCACATAAATTCAATTACAAAGGAGAATAATGTTAACAGGGATTACTTATACAACTCAGTAAATAAGTAATCTTTGCTTGTTGTGATATTTTGATTTTACAATGTAGTATATTGTACTAATGCATTAATTTACTGATGAATCAAGGTTAAATGTTACACATTTTGGTTATTTTTTATAAAGTTGATTGAAATTAGACATTGACACCCTCGGAAGTTAAGCGTTCACGAACGCGAGTGAAGATCCTAGGTTCGAGACCCACGAGCGAGATCGTGGATTCGCACTAGAACGAAACGGCTATCCAGTGCTCCCAGGTTTTTCATGGTGGTCTAACTTTCAACGGCTCATGAATTCAATTATTAAATACACATAACTATTGATAAGGGTAAAATAACAATTAAGAATCTGTATATTCAGATACAGGATATCTTTTTGGATGTATTTTTCACGTCTGTTATAACTTGTGGCCTGCGTGCCCTGCTAATGTATAACGTAATGATACCGCTAATTAGAGAGCAGTGAATTATCGATTGAACCAGTGACGCATAAACCAATGCGAGAGCAGTCTAGAGTATTTATCGGTCCTGCTTCCTGACTAGCCCAACCAATTAAGTCCAGAACACCAATCTCAACCTCTGCGATATGAATCCTGTATTTCGAAAATGATGTCTTCGGCCATTATTATTATTATTGTTATTATTATTATTAATTATCATTAGTGGCTTTATTCAACATTATACTTTTAGTACAACATAGAATTCTCAGCACAAAGTATTTTATCGAGTTTTCGTTTCTTATTTCTTGATCGATTCTGGCGATAAATATTAAGTGATCGGCAGTTAGTAGTTAGCAGTCCAATCAATCGATATCTGAATAATGTATATATTCTTTTCAATGAACATTGGCAGCAACCACAATATCTTTGATTGGGCCTTATATAACTTGTACAAAGAAAGGTTGTACATTTTTCACGAACGCACCTGAATTGTTTATGTGATTAATAACCATAATGATGTAATGAAATTAGATTACTTGTTGAAGTATCTAGATGATAGGAACAGGTAAACAAGATGTTCAAAGCAGGCTAAATTCATTCGGTAACTGTTGCGAATTTATGTCCGGCTTATTATCACGTGACTTATCCGTCAATCGAAATACGATTTATACAATCTTCACACTGTGCCAGACCAATGACGTTCGACCGGTATGAGCAGCTTAGCGTTCTTATTAGTCCTATGTTCGCCTAGCCCATCCAGTTGAGTTCAGAACACTAATACCAGCTTCCACTATGCGAATCATTATTTACATATCGACCAAACAGACCTCAACGCACCATAAAATAGGAAATAAAATTCGCCAAAAAGTGGCTGAGAACATGGGAGACAGTAATTAATAAACTGAGCATGATTTAGGGGAAGTAAATCGTACAATAATACATTATAGGTCAAAACGAAGCTTATAATAAGCGGAATATACATAATCTAATTACTGAATAGTTAAACGATAAGAATATATACTTACTTACTTACGCCTTTTACTCCTCGTGAAGGAGCATAGGCCGCTCATCAGCATTCTCCATCCAACCCTGTCCCAACCAATCCTTTCCAGCTCCTTCCATTTCTTATTCAGCCTTTCCATATCTGCTTCTATTTCCCGACGTAATGTGTTTTTTGGCCTTCCTCTTTTCCGCTTCCCTTCAGGATTCCAAGTTAGGACTTGCCTCATGATGCAGTTTGATGATTTGCGAAATGTATGTCCTATGCATTTCCATCATCTTTTCCTAATTTCTTCTTCAGCTGGAAGCTGGTTTGTTCCCTCCCATAAAAGGCTGTTGCTGATGGCATCCAGCTAATGGATGTTGAGTATCTTGCGTAAACAGCTATTTACAAATACTTGTACCTTCTTGATGGTGGTTGTTGTAGTGCTCCACGTTTCAGCTCCGTACAGTAGAACTGACTGTCTTGAAGTTCGTATTGAAGATTCTCACATTGATATTGGTTGAAAGTTGTTTTGAGTTCCATATTTTCTTCAACTGTAGGAATGCTGTCCTTGTTTTGCTAATCCTCGCCATTACGTCTGCATCTGAACCTCCTTGCTCATCGATGATGCTTCCCATTTATGTGAAGGATTCCACCTCTTCCAGAGTTTCGCCATCAAGAGTTATTGGATTGCTGTCTTCCGCTTTGAATTTGAGGACCTTGGTTTTCCCCTTGTGTATATTGAGGCCTACTGATATAGAGACTACTGCTACACTAGCTGTCTTTATTTGCACTTGCTCATGTGTATGCGATAGGAGGACTAGGTCATTTGCGAAGTCCAAATCGTCTAATTGATTCTGAGCTGTCCTATATATGCCGTGTTTTCCCTCAGATGTCGAGGTCTTCATAATCCAGTCGACCACCAGAATAAAGAGGAAGGGAGAGAGTAAACAGCCTCGTCTGACTTCGGTCCTTACTTGGAATGCATCTGTCAGGTGTCCTCCATGAACGACCTTGCACTGTAGTCCGTTGTATGAGTTCCGGATAATATTGACAATCTTCTCAGGAACTCTGTATAGATAATATTAATCCATTAATAGATCTCAGACGTTATTCGTAATCTAATCTTCATTAGGATATGACTGTAACATTCTTGTTTAAATGATGATTATATTAACCTGATTAGTGGAATCATCATTAATAAATAAGTACTTATACTATGAAGTTAAATAGAATTATTCATTATTGTAGATTAATGGACTTACCTCATTTAATTCTGTATTTGATTGAATGTTTTCAGATTCTACAATGTTTTCATTACTATTAGGGGTAGTAAAAATGTTAATTGCTTTTGTTGTTACTGTATTATTATTATTATTTGTGGTAGAAGTAGTAGTGGTAGTACTACTACTACTACTAGTACTAGTTGTAGTAGTAGTAGTAGTAGTTGTTGTTGTTGTTGCATTGGTAGTAATATTGTTAGTACAAATGAAATTTCTTAATTGATTTAATAATTTCCATTCATTATTAGCAAAATTTTTTAATTCTTCACAAAAATCATCTACAGTTGTTGCTTCAAAAATACACTAAAATATAAACATATAAAGAGGTATATTAAACATTTCCAATACAATTTAGAGTAGTATAATAAAATTAACATATATATTAATGAACTAAAATGTTACATTACTTAATAAGAAAAGATAGATAGTGGCTAGCAGTTGAATCGACAACGCGCGTTTCGTCCTCTTTTTTGGACTCGTCAGCTGGATGTACACCTGCATCTCAAAGTTCACTCCGGGAATCGAACCCAGTACCGTACACTTCAAATGCCATCGCGTTATCCATTTAGCTACTGAGTCGTGGAAGCCACTTACTTGTACAATGGGATCAAGTTTAAATTCACTTGGTGTTGTTTACTTGTATCTTCCCATTGTTATTTAGGACTGCAATTGATCAGTCTCTTATTAACATATGCGGATTACCTCGATATAGTCTAGTCACAAGCTTAATGAGCACAGATGGATAGTGGCTAGCAGTGGTGTGAACATCAACTCTGAGATGCAGTTGCATCCACCTGACGAGTCCCGAATCAGACGAAGCATGCGTCGTAGATTCTACTGCTAACCACTATCCATCTTTAATTAAGAAGCTTGTGGTTTTAGAGTATATCGAGGCGATCCGCACAGAATGCACATATGCCAACAAGAGACTGATCAATTACAGATCTAAGTAACAATAGGAAGAAACAAGTGAAACAACATCAAGTGAATTTTTACATTACTAAAAATAGAAATAACTGTTCATTGATCCTGATTTTTATGAATACTTTTCGATGTAGTTTTGTACTTTGAGCTGGATGTTTTGGTCGTAGTTCTTTCACCGTTTTTATGAACAACATCATCAGTACAAACTTTAAGTAGAAGTCAAGTGTTAAAATGTCTCCACATATAATCCACTATTTGTCCTGTAGATCTTCATTGATTAATGTTGACCTACCAAAGAAGATCGAGGTTAACAAGACAAAACGAGAGCCATATGTAGAGAAGTTGGAACACTTCAATTCTACTTGAGGTTTCTGCTGATCACGTCGTTCAGAAGAATGATGAAAGCTCCACAATCAAACCATCCAGCTCAGAGAAAAAATCTCCATCCAAATGATCCACCTGATCTATAAATCTTCTCCACCATTGCTATGAATACTATCATACTCACTTCTTTCATATGTAATTGACACGAAAATGATATTCTTTTCAAAGATTTAGAAGTATCTAAATAAACTTACAAAACTGAACAGACTGTATTGCAAATCTGTGTCAATTATAAGTAATTGTCACTTTCTACTGACATGTCTCAAAACTTCATGGATCAAATGTTCTAGTAACCAATTATCTTTGAATATTGATAGAAATCAGCGAAAATTCTTAGTTAATGTACATTCCATGTTAACTGGTATTAGTCATTATGACTATAGTCTTTCTTGTATTGATGCTTTCAATGAGTATCAAATTCAATCTGCTAAGTTTTATAATTAGATATGATTGAACTGAACAATTCAAATCACAACTTATTTTATATTATTAGTAGTATTAAAGCATTTGAGAAAAAGAAGGGTAATTTAATGAAAAAGTAATTTTAATCTCACAGTTTAAACACTACGTCTTTTGTTTCAAAATTTAGCTTCTTATTCTTGTAATTCCCAGGACAGAGTAGATGGTCGATGGTCTATGCTCCATTAGGAGTAACAGGAGTAAGTAAGTAATTCTTGTAATTAAAAGTGAAAAATGTAATAAGTCATTTCTGAATGTTTTGTAGTGTCGGTTATTATGTTAAGCCCATATACCTTATTCTAACTTTCGGACAGCCCATTCTATTCATTCTACATTCTGACCTTGTTAATTATTCGCCTATCAATCTTCTCTGTTTTTATATGAGCGCTTAAGTGTGTATACATTTCTTATCCCATTACTCATTACATGTCTGTAACTTATTTTTGTGTGCCTATAAATATTGATTAACGCTTGGTTAAATGGGAGTTGGCTTACCCGCCATCTCCACTACGTGTCCATTCGCTTAATATACAAAATATATGTGTTCAAAAATCCATTCTGGTTATTTGACTCATCTAAATCCGTTATTAATTAACGCGATTAAAGTCGATCATTCTATACGAGGATAGGCGACATATATATTTCAACAACAATCATCAATACAATCTCCTTGGAATCAGATCCACGGGCCACTAAAGTGGAGAGCACTTTCGACTACATTTGTTCAATTTAAATGACGATGAAATAACGGACCTCCACAAAAGTTTCATTATCAGGATACTTCAATTATACACAAACAAATACATTCATGAATTAACTTAACCTTTAAAACAGAATTGCTTTATAAATATAACATCTAAACTATGAAATGAGTGAAGTTTTAAAATGAAAAATACCCATTGACAATATATTCCTGTATAAAAGTAAAACTGTGAATTACATGTTAAAAGTACTTTGGTATAAATTAGCTGATATCGGATAGTCAACTATTGTTCTATTCTGGAACATATTTGTAATAACTATATGCATGAACATCTTATTATGAAACGAATAAACTGTCATATGTCACTTTATGAATTAATTTCAATTAGAATAAGCAAGAAAATGATGTTGCATAATAATGAACAATTTGAAACAGTTTAGATTATTGTCATAGCCATCCAGAAAGTCAGTCATCAACAATGTAGAACTTCCTACGTACGTACATCAGTTCAAGTTGTTATACTACATTAGCAAAGAGATGCAGTTGTCTATTCAAATCTCATAGTGGTAGAGTTAGTACAAGTATAAACAGTAATTGGAATGATCAGGGTTTGAAGATGTTATTCAAGGAGTATAATTCAATGAAATAAATTCGAAAAGAGAGAAAAAAATGGGGACAAGAAGAATTCAGAAGATTAGAATTTGGGAGAACACAAAGAGTGGATGCACCTGCGCCACTGCAAACGATTTTGAGCCATGTCATTCAAGGTCTCTTACCGTTGATTGCTATCATCTTGCGGATCCCAACCACGTAGTCTACACCTACCAACATGGCTCACACAGTGCACTTGTCGGTAACGTCATGAATTTGTGCCGTGTTTTGGTCTAGCCGTCCCTAGCTTTCTTTCAACCTACTCTTACACCATAAAACATCGCACGTCGGGGCAGTTGGTGGTTGGGCATACGTAACACATGTCCTAGCCATCTCAACTGATGACGTTTCACTTCTTCATTAATTGATTTTCCATCCTTACCTAGTACATGTTTCCTAACAACTGAGTTACGTACTCGATGATCGCAGGATATACGAGTGATGTTTCGAAGACACCTACCATCAAATACTAGCAACCTACGAATAGCTTTTACTCTTACCGGCCATGTTTCACTGCCATAAAGTAGGACGGAACGAACTGATGCGCATTAAACCCATCCTTTGGTTGGTAGACGGATATCTCACCTACTCCATAAATGACAAATTTTGCAAAAGCTAGTCGAGCTTTCTGTATCCGTGCCGAGATTTCGTCACACATTAGACCACAACGGCTGATGAGACTTCCAAGATAAATGAAGCTATCGACACGCTCAATTACTTCATTCCCTATCATTAGTTCAGGTGTCGATGCAATCCAATCGTGAAGCAACATTTTTTATTTCAAGCGGGTAAACGGTAAGAAGAACTTATAGATAACATATATATAGTATCATTTACTTATTTATCTATTTTTATTATATTAGATAGTAATAATGTAAGCTTCAAATACACTAAATGATTCTTACAAATAGAACATTTTTAGTCCTATAATGTTGTCTTAAAAGCATTCGTTTTATTCACATATTATTCGTGGGATTGAGTAGTTCAAACAGTATTTCCAATTAGGTTAGAATACGTTTTAACGATATGTTTTTATAGAATATAATCCCCTCAGGGTGAAAGTCTATGGGTAATAATTTGTTCATTTACTTGTATGGTTTATCAATAATGAAATAAGTGAATACTCAGGTGGTACTAATTAACTTATAATTATACAACTGTCAGTTATAAAATTCATAACTAGAATGAAAATGCAATCTTGTTAGTATTCACTTCGATTCTCAACAAGTAAATTACTGAATGTAAAGATAGATGGAGACTTTTGAAATTTCTTTAGCTCAGTGTTTCAGAGGTTAAGTTAATTACATCTGAGAAAGAAGGTTTAACCTCTGGTGGGAGAATCGTGGATGCAAACTATCATAAAGTTTCATTGTCTCATGGTTTTCGATGGTTGTTTAACAAGGGTCATTATATGATGTTAACAATGAAACTGAAATACTGCCTTGATTTGGCTGATAACTAATCAAGCCAATTTACGGATATACAAAATTTTCTTTTTAACATTAATTCACATGTTTTTAAGCAAAGTGAATTTAGACTTCACCCCATTGCACAAGCAGGTGACTATCAGTACTCAGTAGATAAGTGGATAACGCGATAGCGTTTGGAGCGAACGGTACTGGGTTCGAGTCCTGTAGTGAACATCAACTCTGGGATGCAGGTACATCCAGTTGACAAGTCACGAATAGGACGAAACTTGCGTCAAACTGGATTCTACTGTTAGCCACTATCCATCTATGCTTATCAAGCTTGTGACTTAAGATTACGTCGAAGTGATCCGCACAGGATGCTCATATGCCAACAAGAGAATGATCAATTACAGTCCTAAAAAAAACAATGGAAAGATACAAGTAAAACAACACCAAGTGAATTTAGTCACATCTTTCCTAAAGTAACTCAAAATAAAGTAGACAATCTAATGAATAAATGAATTTTTCTAATTTCTTCTGTGTATGGAATTCAGTAATATAACAGTAATATAACTAACCAACATTTGAATAATAAAATGGAATTTTTGTATAAAACCATTTAACTTTGAATCCAAATACAAAATACCCAAAACGAAATCACATAAATCTTAATTCTTTTATATCCCGATGAGAATAATGAATGGTAACTGTTTTGGATTTATTTATGGACCAGTAACTATGAATATATTCTGATTGTATAATTGTTAAGTGCC